TTCAGGTCTGTACCAAGATACCCTTGTGTTGCCCTAACTGTGATACCCTAACTGTTGCATTTGTGTCTTACCTAACAATCTGTCGGTATTTTATACCATTTTAATGTTCAATCTGTCAGACACTGCAATACAAGGGTATCTTGGTACAGACCTGAAATCAACTTCGACTACCTCTACTAGTGAGAACGGCTGGATTTGAGAGGGACCTGACCTCCCAACATCTGCGTTCTACTAGTGACCTACGTCTCACCTCCTGGCGCTATATAAGGCTCCATCCTGTCACTTCAACTCCATATTGTTTCAAACTTTGGAACAATGCTTTTCTCCAGACTGAGGGACTGACCACCTCAAAACTTTAAGGGTGATGGACTGATTACATCGTCTTCAAGTCTCTTCTGCTTTTATCAACTTTTCTGTACTCGACTGAAGAAGCCTACTGTGTAGGCGAAACGTTTCGAAATAAAGATACCTAACTGTTGCATTTGTGTCTTACCTAATAAGTGTTTACAGAAAATTTTCATAAGATATTTTAGGCTAGGGTAAGGTAAACTGACCTACATTTACCTATAGTTGATCAGCACTAACGAATTGCCATCAGCCTTAGGAGGCTGTATAGCAATTAAATGTTGCTTTTTTGTTTACTGTCCGATTTCCTCCAGTTTTGGTGCACAAGACAAAGTGTTTTCACTCTTTCTTGAAAATATTTATCAAAAATATACCTCAAACAACTGAGAAAAGACTGAAAAAGGACTGATTTACTGAAAATGCCTTTTGGCAGGTTGCTTGTCCTATATGGGACAACGTGAGGTTGTTTGGACACTTGGTGCTGAGAGAACAATGCTTATACGAATTTGTAATTAGTACCTTTCCTCTAAATAACTTATCTTTATTTCACAAAAAAAAATAAAGTTTGTTCTTGAAATGTTGCAAAAAATCTGCCCTTTACTCCCACATAACTCCCAAAGTATTTGGAATATTTCCAAAAATTAATAATTGCAAATTAAAGAAATCATTATTCTACAATTTCTGTGAATATTATTACATTTAATTGAGTAATAAAGGCAGACTATGTACCGTAAAGTGAATAAGTTACTTGCCAGATATTGGCCTGGAGCGCCGGCCGGCCCACCGTCTCAAAAAAAAAAAAATATCGAGAAAATCGCGTTTGTTTGGGTGTATTTCTTAGTAAACTGATTGTTCTAGTGCAGTTAACCTCTTCAAAACACAGTTTTCTCTTACTCAGAGACCAAAGAATACGACATGGAGTCGACATGAGAGTAGTAACTCATTTATATCTAAATATTTTCTATGGTCTCTCGCCATATGGCTTATTTTATTCAGTCTAGAATATATAACATGTTTGTATGTTATTTATAGTCTTTATTATATCATATTAGATCAATTCTGATAGATAAATAAGCCGTAGAGTTGATATATAAGCTGATATAAGCGTAATAATGAAGTGATTTCTCCTGGCTCTCTGGAGCGGGAACACTGCCGAGCATTCCCATGTGGTTCCTGGTTGACTCTAAGTCTACGGATAAGCTCCGCCTACTGTTTTATGATGCCAAATAGTCAGTTATTATATTAGAAAGAATAATGCAAGAAAAAGAGATAAAAAACAAGGAAAAAAATCCAAAAAATATATGGGCTGTGAGCAGACTCGCTACCCACATAATTTCTTGTTTAAAAATCGTAGAACATTTATTCTGGTACCATTTTTGGTTGCCAAAAAGTTAAGTTAAGACACATTGCAAAATCTGGATATCTTTATTGTAGTAGAACGTTTCGCCATCCAGGGCTTTATCAAAACAGAATCAAAAGGCTAAAAGGAAACAGTAAACAAAATCAAAAGATGAGGGAATCAGCCCCGCCTTGGAGTTATGTTCACACATCGGGTGGAGGAGAGCTGGGGCAAAGCAAGAAGACCCGGGGTTTTTATGGGGTCAGTGAATGGGACGGGCAGCAGACGAGGGCAGTCACTGTAGCGGGGTTCCCCCCTGGAAGTAGGTCCTTTTCCCAAAAGATGGGTTAGTTTTACAGCCGTGAAAAAAGGTCTTTTGATGCCTCTGAACCAAATTCCATGAAAGTTCAGTGTCTGCAAGTTGTGCAAGAAAGGTATAAAATACCGACAATATGAAAGTTAAACCATGTGCAACACTGGATTTTATTGTAGTAGACGTTTGCCCTCCATGGGTTTAAAACAAACAGATTTAAAGGGCATAATAGGAAGACAGTAGAACTAATCAAAAATAGGTAATCGTCCCCCGGCCTGGAGTTAGTGTTCACAGCATCGGTGGGGGAAGTCCCGGAGCAAAGGCAAGAAGACTGGCGCTTTTTTATAGGCGTCATGAAGGGACGGGCAGCAACAGGGCATCCCCTGGGAGGCGGGTTCCCCCCTGGAAGTAGGTCCTTCCCCAAAGAGATGGGGTTTGTTCAGCAGCCGTGAAGAAGGTCTTGTAGATTCCTCTGAACCAAATTCCATAGTTGCAGTGTCTGCAAGTTGTGCAAGAAAGGTATAAAAAACCGACAATATAAAATTAAGACCATTCAACATCGGAATCTTTATTTAGTAGACTTTCGCCATCCAGTGGCTTTAAACAATACGATTCTAGGACATAATAGGAAACAGTAGAACTATATCAAAAAAGAGGGAAAACAGTCCCTCGGCCTTGGGGTTAGGTTTTCCAGCTCGTGGGGGGAGGAGAGTCTGGAGCAAAGGCAAGAAAACTGGCGCTTTTTATAGGGGGAGGAATGGGACGGGGAGCAGCGGGGCAGTACTGGTAGGGGGGGATTCCCCCCTGAAGTAGGTCCTTCCAAAAAGATGGGTTAGTTCACAGCCGTGAAGAAGTCTTGTAATGTCCTCTGAACCAAGATTCCATATGTTGCATGTCTGACAATTGTTCAAGAAAGGTATAAAATACCCACAATATGAAATAAGACCCCTTTGGGAACATCTGGATATCTTATTGTAGAACTTTGCCATCCCGTGGCTTTATCAATACAGATTCTAGGGCATAATAGGGAAAACGAAACTAATACAAAAGATGAGGTAAATCATCCCCCCGGCTTTGGGGTTGGTTCACAGCATCGTGGTGGAGGAGAGTCTGGAGCAAAGGCAAGAAAACTGGGGCTTTTTTTAGGCTCAGTGAATGGGGGGGCAGAAACGAGGGCATTTACTGGTTTGGCGGGGGTTCCCCAAAGGGAAATGGTCCCCTTTCCCAAAAAGATGGTTTTTTGCAGCAGCCGTGAAGAAGGTCTTGTAGGGTGTCCCCCTTAACCAAGATTCCCCTGATTTGCAGTGTCGACAAAATTGTGCAAGAAAAAGGGAAAAAAAACCGACAATATGAAAGTTAAGACACATGGGCAACTCTGGATACTTTAAAAATATTTTAAAGTTTCGCCATCCAGTCCCTTTTTCAATACAGATTCCCAGGGCATAATAGGAAACAGTAAAAACAAATACAAAAGATGAGGTAACAGTCCCCCAGATTCCAAAAAACATTGGTGGAGGGGAAACCCAATCCCAAAAACCCCGGGGAACCTTCCTTTTTTATAAACACTGTATTCCAAGCCCCAGGGGGTCCTTTTAGGGGGGAAAAAAAACCGGTGGAAAGTCCCCTTCCCCAAAAAATTTAAATTGCACAGCCTTAAAAGGGCTATTTTAAAACCTTTTTGAACCCAAATTTCCAGACATGCAAAAATTTTGGAAAAGGGGTTTAAAAGGGCATTAAAAAGACCTTTCAAAATCTGGAATAACCCCCTTTTTTGGGGGGACCTTTCCACCTGGGGAAACCCTACCCGGGGTTCCCCCGGCTTGGGCCCCTTAGAACCCCATAAAAAAGGATTTCTTCCCTTTTCCCAAAATCTCCCCCCCACCAGATGCGTGAACACTAAAAACCCCAAAGGGGGCCCAGGACTGATTACCTCATCTTTTGGGAAATAGTTTTACTGTCCTTCCTATTTTGTCCTAGAATCTGTATTGGGTAAAACCACTGGGTTTGGGGAAACCTACTACAATAAAGAAAATCCAGATTTTTTGCACGTGTCCCTTTAAATTTTATTTGTCGGTATTTTATACCTTCCTTTCACAACTTGCAGACACTGCAACAACATGGAATCTTGGTTCAGAGGAAAAACTACAAACCTTTTTTCAAGGCTGCTGCAACAACCCCTCTCTTTGGGGAAAGGGCCTTTCTTCCACTGGGGGAAAACCCCCCCTACCAGTGACTGCCCCCGTCCCCTGGGCCCCTCCCTTTTACTGACGCCTAAAAAAAGCGCCAGTCCCTTTTTCCTTTGCTTTCCCGAATCTCCTCCACCACGATGCTGGAACAAATAACTCCAAAGGGCCCAGGGACTGATTACCTCATCTTTTGTATATATTCTACGTCTTCCCTATTATTTCCTAGAATCTGTATTGAAAAGCCCCTGGTGGGGAAACGTCACTACAAAAAAGATATCCAGATGTTGCAAAAAGTGTTTTTAACTTTCCCCTATTGTCGGTATTTTTTTACTTCTTCAAAAACTTTTTTCCCGACAAAGCCCAAAATCATGGAATCCCCTTGGTTCAAAGGGCACTACAAACCCTTTTTCACGGCTGCTGCAACTAACCCCCTTCTTTTGGGAAAAGGGCCTACTTCCAAAAGGGGGAAACCCGCCCCACCAAAAAAGACGCCCTCGTCTGCGCCCGTCCCCCCCACTGACGCCCATAAAAAGCGCCCCTTCTTTCCTTTGCCCAGAAACCCCCTCCACCACGATGCTGGGGAAAAACTAACTCCAAGGCCGAGGGACTGATTACCTCATCTTTTGTATATAGTTCTACTGTCTTCCTATTATGTCCTAGAATCTGTATTGATAAAGCCACTGGATGGCGAAACGTCTACTACAATAAAGATATCCAGATGTTGCACATGTGTCTTAACTTTCATATTGTCGGTATTTTATACCTTTCTTGCACAAAGAGTTAAGCTATTTTTTCGGTATAAATAACTCAATTTCCATAATTTTTCGATTTTTTTTGAGAGCACGCCGGAAAGTGCCATACAGCTCCCTTATGTTTGGCAGCGCTGGATGTATCGTAACATTTCCCTTCAGTTTTTTTTTTTTTATATATATAGGTATGACCACTAATGTTGAAGTTGGAGGGTGGGCTGTATTGTTGTATAGCTTAAAGAGTGACATCTGTACCTTAAACTAGAACAGAACATCTGTACCTTAAACTAGAACATTGTGGGGTCTGAGGCCATACCTTTACCTACCTAGTCTTAGCAGTAGACACCAGTATGTCTCCAATAACAGCGTAACCTCGTCAACTTTGCCTGTCGACGTAGGAGTTCATCAATGCAGAGTTTTTTATCTTGATCTCTTCTACGCATCACATTTCCTTAAACCTGTTCTGCTCGCAGATGACAGGACTTTTGTCATCTCCCACTTAAATCCGACTACTCTCAGCGACACTGTCAATGGTGAACTCCTAAAATTATATATGTGGATGACTACCAACAAATTCACCCTTCATATTGTCAAAACCTACTACATGATGTTTGGAAGCAGATCTTCGGATATCGTAGAGGTGGTAGCTGGACAAAGACGCAAGCATGGAGAACAAGTCTCGATTTGGACAACGTTATGCTCTTAAAATGGTTAATCGACACACACAAGCAGGAGACAACGTTTCACTTACATGAGGCTTTATCAAATAATTAAGCCTCATGTAGGTAAAACGTTATATTAAGAGGCCAAAAGGTATTTTGCCTTGTCGGCTATTCCATACTTCACTTACGTTTCTTCTTTAACTAAAGACTGCAGAGAATCCGTAGCTTGGAGATGAGGTGCGGGTTTACTAAAAGTATTATCCATATCCAGTGGACTGAAGAGGGGTTGTTGAGGTGGTTCGGACATTGAAGGGCCTATAAATCTACTGACAAGAGAAACATTGACAGAATAAAGGCTTCTTCTGAATACTTAATTCATGCCTGTTGGGCTACGGAATCCACAGCCTCTTCCAAAATGGCTATGCATCCGCAGCCTCTTCCAAAATGGCTGTGTCAACCTCTTCCAGAATGGTTGTGGATTCCGCAGCCTCTTCCAAAATGGCTGTGGATTCCGCAGCCTCTTCCAAAATGGCTGTGGATTTATCATGATGGTAGCTGTTGATGTGGTTGGGATGTGTAATTACAGGGCAGTCACAACACTCGGGGAAGGGCTGACAGGAGGGTTGGTTGCAGCAGGGCTGAGCTAAAGGGTCTGTGGTTGTGGTCCTGGGCTCCATCCACGTCATGGTCTTCATGTGTTCCTCTCTCCACTCTCCCAACATATCCAACACCGGTCTGTTGATATTGATTGGAAATAATACAAATACCCGTAGTTTAAAAAAAAGCGAGCGGCAATATTGCGGTTAAAATAATTTAAACAAATTACTTATAAAGTGAAAGCATAAATTTCGGTTCGTCAGCCCGTTCAGTGGATAATGCCAAGAAACGATAATAAAGGATTTTATCAGTTTTGGAATAAATTTTTAACAAACTTCCAAGACGACATGCGAGCTTATGTTCCATTTAACTGTAACTCATGGTCCAAGAAAGACCCAGAAGACTGAACACAACGAGCCTAACCCTGTTCCTGAAACTGCAATAACTGATGAAGGAAAGCCCTCAAGACTTGAAAACACTAGCCTAGCTGTTCCTGAAACAGTAACAAATAGTCTAGTCTAAATATTGACAGCCGGAACCTAATTCTGTTCCTGCAACTGTAACTAATGGGTCAGGGCAAACCTAAATGTCCAGTTTTCATTTCCAATTTGTGGAATAGTAATGAATTGCCTCAGCCACGTTATTGTCGTTTATATTCTTTACAAACAGGCAGTATTCCACGCAGACGCACACTCCATCGCTTAAAATAAGTATATGCTTGAGATACAAAGAATCAATTAAGCATTAACATGGTGTAACCTCAGTGGAAATGATACTCACAGGTAGAGGGAATCATTGGCCAAGTTGTATCGTTCGCCGGGGTCGTAGTAGAGGTTGTAGAGGAGCGGGGGGTCGTGATGGGTGAGGGGGTGGCTGGAAGGGCACAAAGGGTCGTAGTTGTCAGGGTCCGACAGATCTGAGGAACATACGCTTAAGTTATATTAAATCATCACACAGAGTATATATTCAGAGAAGTCCGTATCCGTACAAATACACCAAGTGGTATATACATAGGTTTGTGTATTTCAGTTTATATGCACCCGTAGCTCGATCGCTAGCGCACTCGGCTCACACACTGCGGTCCAGAGATCGAATCTCCGGTACGGCTGGAAAACATTAGGGACGTGTTTCCATAAGACACTTGCTCTCCCTGTTCACCCATCAGTGTAAAATGGGTACCTGGGTGTTATTCGACTGCTGTGGGTCGCATCCTGGGACAAAAGTGACCTAATTTACCTGAGATGCTCAGCATAACAAGCGACGTTCTATATAGTAGTGTGTCATTGATGTCAGTCAGACCTGTATACTTTGTACATGTACTTGTAGAAATAAAGATATATTATTATAGACTATATATAAGCACACACAGGTGTGTATCTGTGCAAAAAAAAAAAACACTAAGAATTTGCTTAAAAGCCTATTGTAGAATTTAAAGTACTCTTGATGTTAGTGTACAGATGAACTGTAGCCTTTAATGACGCGAATCCAATCGATGAGCTTTAAACCTAGCATATTAACAATGAAATGGTGATGGTAATGATATTAATGTAAGAATAATAATAAGAATAATAATGGTGAAAAAGGAAAATTCGCCATTAAACTGTTGAATATTTCCAGCCATAACGATATAATTTTCTCTGTACTGAAAACTAGCGCATGTCATGAATGCCAATATAGTGAAATGATGGTAGGTAAGACACGGAGTGCCGCAACAGTTAGGCAACTTTATTCGGAAACGTTTCACCTACACAGTAGGCTCCTTCAGTCGAGTATAGAAAGTAGGCAGGAGCAGTAGAGATGTGAAGACGATGTAAGCAGTCCATCACCCTTGATCTGAGGTTGTCAGTCTCTCAGCCAGAAGAGTTCTGTTCCATAGTCAGAAACAACATGAAGATGAAGCGACAGTGTGGAGGCTTGTATACTTCTCCAGGCTGAGGGACTGACAACCTCAAATCAAGAGTGATGGACTTGATTACATCGTCTTCACATCTCTACTGCTCCTGCCTACTTTCTGTACTCGACTGAAGGAGCCTACTGTGTAGGTGAAACGTTTCGAAATAAAGTTGCGTAACTGTTGCCTTTGTGTCTTACCTTCCAACCTGTCTGTATTGTATACCATTTTGATATTCACATAGTGAAATGATAAATATTTGCAGTGCCCACATATACATACACACACACATGATTTTTTTTTATTGGGAAAACTGGATACAGCACATCGTGGGCTACCCTGATCTTTATAACATTTTACAAAGTTTAAACAAGAGATAACTACGTTTTTTGCCTAACACATTCATTACACAGAATGAATTTTCATACAGTAGTTTTGATACATTAGCTGCGAGTCCAGCTGTAATCCTCCAGCAGGTTTGGAGTTACTTTCACCTGGGCACCATCACACAGAATGGTGAGAGTTTAGCTGTAAATCCTTTCAGGATGTCTGTGGTATCACTTGGGCACCATCACACAGGATGGTGCAGTATTTGTCACAGTAATGACAATGGCAAAACCAAAGTACGCATGAAGTGTTCTTACGTAATATAATAATAATAATAATAATTCTTTATTTCTACAAGTATATGTACAAGGTATAGCTGACATCAATGACATAATACTATATACAAAGCCGCATTTCGGGCAAATTAGGTCAATTTTGTCCCAGAATGCGACCCACACCAGTCGACTAACACCCAAGTACCCATCTTACTGATGGGGAATATAGACAACATGTGTAAAGAAACATGCCCAGTGTACCTACCCTCGTCGGGAATCTATCCCGGACTCTCCGTGTGAAGCGAGAGCTTTAGTCACGAGGCCACGGGGCACCCTGCGTAGGCACTTCAAACAACCACATCAAATTAAAACCATACACTAGTAAGGGAGCTTACCTGACCCTATGGTGTAGAAATGAGCCTTATAAGTACCATTGGTGACGGCAAAGGGTCCCAAGGACTGCTCTGGTGACTGCGGATACACAGCGTACATCTTACGGGGACTCTGATGACGATAGTGGTGGCGTAGTAGTAGTTGTGTGAGAGGAAGTCGTTGAGAAAGGTTAAAAAATGATCACAATAACTACTGTTAATTAAAATAATAATAGACTTTTATACAATAACATCCAGTAATTTGTGTTGAATATTTCTTCACTGCAAGTTCTAATAGATCTTTTTTTTATCATATTTCAAAAAACAGCTAGTGTTCTTTTAACCCATGGGCATATACGACAACTGTTATCAATGTCAGTATTTAACAAATAAAAATCGCTCAGTAGAATATAGTATTGTTTGTCTCGCCTTTAGCAGACTAAGTGGTTGGGGGAGGGCGAGCCTCCACCTACACTGAATGAAGTACATAGGTTTAGCGCTTCAAGTAAATAAAAATTATTCTAATAGTGGCAACCACCTTAGCGAGAGGATCCCTGAGGAGGGGCGAGAGGTCGACGCCGTCCAAAGTTAAGTTAGAGGTGTCTAGGTGAACCAGAGACGCCAGGGTGGGAAGTATATCCAGTGTTGATGCCAGACCCGACGTTTTACCTGGTGTCGTTCAAGATACTGATTAATAATAATTTGCATTCTTTTATATGATAAGCTTATCCTAGCCAGTCAAACTGGAAGAACTGTTAAAGACAACTAAATACTTCTAGTAGTTATAGACCAGCTTGTTAGGAAAGTTGTAAAGTGTTGTAAATGACCACCACCACGAAAATCTGTGTAGTCTGTAGAAAGGGTAACAGACGAAATCAAGGGACTGCTCACAGAGTCACATGCAATGTTTACAGCATTCACAGAGACCCACATCAAGGATCATTTTGACAACGAAATATGTATCCCTTGTTATAGATTATTCAGATGCGACAGACTAAACAGACAACAAGGGGAAGTTAGCCTGTACGTCATAGAGTCGCTCATTTGCTCAGAACTGCTAAACACCTCAAATGACGTAGTTGAAGTTTTGGAGGTAAAGGTTCAAAACTAAAACCTTGTCATTGTGGTTGTATACAAGCCTCCAGATGCAACTTCCCAGCAATTCCGGCACCAGCTTTTGAAAATTGACCACTGTCTGGAAAATTTCCCAACTCCTGCCCCTAACATCTTGCTACCGGGAGATTTCAACTTGAAACACCTAAAATGGAGGAGTGTAGCAAATAATATTTTAGCAGAAATCACTCCATGAGGCAACTCAGATGAAAATTCACACACACAAGAGCTATTAAATTTCTGCACCAAATTCACCCTAAGCCAGCAAATATTAGAGCCTACAAGACCAGAAAATACGCTGGACCTCATCTTCATTAACAACAATAATCTGATACGTAATATAACCATATCAAAGACAATGCACTCGGATCACAACATTAAATAGAGGTACAGAAATGTATGCACAGGGCTCCTGACCAGCAAAATGTGATCAGTCATGAGGGTGTCTTCACAAAATTCAACTTCAATAACAAAAGCATACAATGGAAACAAGTTAACCGTGTTCTAAATGAAACAAGCTGGGAAGATATCCTAAACAACACTGATCTGAACCTTTGCCTAGAAAAAATGAACTCTGTGGTTCTTGAGATCTGCTCAAGGCACATTCCACTAAGAAAAAGAAAGAAATGTAAACTAGAAAGAGAGAGATGCTCCCTATACAGACGAAGGTGAAAAGTCAGAGCTGCTGAGAGGGTACAATATATCTGAAACACGAAGGGAGGCACTGGTCAGGGAAATTGCAAATATCGAACTAAGCTGAAGGAATCTTACAGGTGACAAGAATCGCAGGAAGAGCTGAAAGCCATGAAGGAAATTTAAAAAAAAAAAACTTCTTCTCTTATGCCAAATCTAAGGGAAAAACAACATCCAGTATTGGGCCTCTGCTTAGGCAGCATGGGACATACACAGATACCCAAGAAATGAGTGAGATGTTAAAATCATAATACGGCTCAGTATTCAGCGAGCCGCTGCCCAGACTAAGGGTCGACAGTCCAAATGAATTCTTTATGAACGAGACCCAAAATTTTGGTCATCTCAAAAATCTTGGATATTATCCTAACACCACAAGACTTTGAAAAGACAATAAATGACATGCCCATGCACTCTGCCCCAGGCCCAGATTCATGGAACTCAGTGTTCATCAAGAACTGCCGTGTGCCTTCAGTATTCTATGGAGAGAGAGGACACGGGTCATCCCATACTCACTAAAAACAACAGGCATAGCCCACTCCACAAAGGTGAGAGTAAAGCAATTGTAAAGAACTACATACCAATAGCACTAGCATCCCATATCATAAAAATTTTTGATACCCATCAGTTACACAACCCAGGGCAACACGGGTTTACAGCAGATCGCTCCTGCCTGTCCCAGCTGCTGGACCACTCTGACAAGGTCTTGGATGCTGTAGAGGATAAACAAAACACAGATGTAGTATTCACAGACTTTGCAAAAGCTTTCGACAAGTGTGACCATGGCGTAATAGCACAGAAAAATGCGTGATAAAGGAATAACAGTATAAGCTGGTAGATGGATCTTTAACTTACTGACATATAGAACACAGAGTAATAGTAAACAGAGTAAAGTCTGAGGCAGCTACGGTGAAAAGCTCTGTTCCGCAAGGCACAGTACGCTCCCATTCTATTCCTCATCCTCATATCTTACATAGAGATGTAAGCCATAGCTCCATGTCTTTGCGGATGACACCCGTATTGCCATGACTGTGACCCCCATCGAAGACGCTGCAAGACTCCAAGCGGACATCAACCAAATCTTCAAATGGGCCATTCAAAACAGTATGAAGTTCAATGAAGAGAAATTTCAACTAATCAGATATGGAAAACTTGAAGAAATTAAAATTGTATCAGAGTATACGACAAATTCTAACCATACAGTAGAGCAAGAAAGTAATGTGAAGGACCTGGGAGTGATAATATCAGAGGATCTCGCCATCGAAGACCACAAAGACCAGAAAATGATAGGATGGATAATGAGAACCTTCAAAACTAGGAACTCCAAGCTCATGATTCTCTTCAAATCGCTTGTTCTCTCTATGCTAGAATACCGCTGTACACTAATTGCCCCTTTCGAGGCAGGCGAAATTGCTGACCTGGAGAGTGTACAAACAACTTTCACGGCACACATAAGTACGATAAGGCACCTAAATTACTGGGAACGTAGGCGAGAAAATACATTATAATATACGCTTGGAAAATCCTAGAGGGATTAGTACCAAACTGACACGAAAATCACTCCCTACGAAAGCAAAAGACTCGGCAGAAGATGCAATTTTTCCCCAGTGTAAAGCAGGGGCGCACGAGTACACCGAGAGACAACACACTACTTGTCAGGGGCCCAAGACTGTTCAGCTGCCTCCCAGCATACATAAGGGAGATTACCAATAGGCCCCTGGTTGTCTTCAAAAAGGCACTAGACAGGCATTTAAAGTCAGTATTTGACCAGCCGGGCTGTGGTTCGTACGCCAATTTACGTGCGACTAGCAATAACAGCCTGCTTGGTCAGAACCTGATCCACCATCAGGCCTGGTCTCAGACTGAGCCGCGGGGGCGTTGACCCCCGAAATCCTCTCCAGGTAAACTACACTGAGGTCAAAACGCACGTTGTGTTCAGTGATCAAAGGCATTTTGTAATACGTGTTTATCGGTAAACTCATGGCCAGTGAGTAATTGATGTAAAGCATTAAGTGTGTAGAAACATTTTTTACTTGACCTGTTAAGTTACTGTAGGATCATGCTCGTGTAAAAGTGTGACATCCATAGTTTGCGAAGTGTTGAAAGACCGAATATGAACTGCTAGTTTAAGATATTGACTCGGCGAGCTCACAAATTACCAGTAGGAAGGGTTTGGCTCAATACAGAAGATTTCTAATTAATTGGCAAAGCTTTCATGTAATGTAGCACCGATACAGAGGGATAATAATTGCATAAGATGGCAGTAGATTTAGTAGTTAGAGATTACCACTTAAAACTACTACGAAACGCAATTGAGACTTTATAAATTTTAGGGTGAAAGAATATTATATTCTGCCATCTTAGCTGTCCCTCATTTGAGGCAAAATGTTGATGCAAGAGAATATTTTCAGAAAATCAATTTCTGTAAGGTGAAAATACAAAATGCGTATTCCAACAGACCCGGTGTGATGTAGGGAGGCCAATGAACGAAGGCAGGAACCCTGACACCTCCCTCCCAGGTGGTGCCTTTACCACAACGCAGCAGCCCAGCGCACCCTCCTCGCTCTTGTCGCATCAGGCTCGGTCTGTTAGTGAAGAAAACAATTATCGGATTATTTACTAAGGATAACATAATGAAGTCAAGTATTGTTTGGGGTGGTTCGTGGCTGAAGTGATAGCGTCTTCAGCACTCATCTGAAGGACTTGGGTTCGATACAAGTGGAAACGGGCATGATTCGTTACACCTGTCGCTTCTGTTCACCTAGTGTTAGCCGAATGTTGTGGATCGGATTTGCCGAAAGAGAATCATAGGATCTCGATGAAAATAAGCCATAGTGACTTTACTGGGTAGTCCTAGATTACTAACCCTCTGGGTTAATATTCGGAATAAAATCTTTCTCTCTTGCCTAGGATGCGACCAACAACAGCTAAATGAACGTGTGTAAGGAGACATTTTCATACGTCTGGCTCAGCCTGGTATCAAACCTAGGGCCTTTTGGTTATAAGCCGACTGCTTGCCTACGGGTCTAAACTCACTGGTCAAGACTCACGTCGGACTTGCAGGCATTGTAACGAAATATTCGAAAATATGACGGTGTCTGGGGCGTCCATGTCATGTTAGCACAAGGTGTGCTTCCTATGTGATGGGAACCTACAGGATGACCTGGAAGTGGCAGATGTAGTTTAATGCAAACAAGTATAAGTTATAGTTAGCAGAAATTTAATGCCAAGACAACAGTGCATAAGTGTTCGCAATAAAGCCAGTAGGATTCTTGACTTCACATCATGAAGTATAAATAATGAAAGTCCTAAGGTAATGCTTCTGATTTTTCTATATAGTCTTAGTAATGCCTCATTTAGACAAGGCAAAATATACAAAGAAGCATGACGAACTGATCACATGTATCGGAAACCTTTCTTATGAAGATAGGCTGAATGCACTGAATTTCCTCTCTGGAAGGACGTCTATTTAGGGACGATATGATTGAAATATACAAATGGAAAATATGAATAAATGGAAGAATGTAAATAACGTACAGAAATTATCAAACCAAAACATGACACACAGCAATGGATTCATGCTGAACAGATTTAAATTTAAAAGGGATATAGGGGAGAACTGATTAGGCATTATTTTTATTATTATTATTATTATTATTATTATTATTATTATTATTATTATTATAAAAAAGAAGCTAATAGCGCTTGGGAAACTTTAAAAATAGGTTGGATAGGTATACAAGTATATGTAGTAGGGCGAGCTGGAGCTGCCTAACATAGGCCAGTAGTCCTACTGTAGTGTTCCTTCACTCTTGAGTTACATAAACCAATAAAAACATTTAAACCACAAAAAAATGGCCGCGATATGTCTAGCATTGAGATGGCTGAGGAAAAAATATAATCGTTCGAATTTCACGGTGTATCGCCTGTGGTGGGAGAATGAGCGTAAGTAAGTACACTTGTTGCTCAAACATTATTTAATGTTATATAAATCAACGTAGGCGTATGATGTACCTTGTCTAATTTTTTACAAGAAAAATAGTCAATTATTCACTGTCTCACTAATTTTGTAAAAGATTATTTACTAAAATAATGATGACATGAAAACTTGCATTATTGTTGTTACTAAGAATATTATGTTAACTTTAACGCAGTTCATTTATGTGCTAAATCAAAATAGTTTTTAATTCGGTATTAAGTTCCAATTAATGAACTTGATAGAGAATTATAACAATCACCAGGAAGTAACAGGGTAGTAGAAACCAAAGGTTGAAAAAAGTTTGTTAGGATGGGTTTAAAACTATTTTGATTCAGTACGTAAATCAACTACAATAATGAGTGTCAGTCTTAACGCCTTATAAGTAATAATTGTAGTACTGTAGTTTTTTGTCAGCAGACATGGTAATTTAAATGTATAATTTTATTATTTATTAATTTATTATTATGACTACTACTGTCTGACAGTTCTCCAAGAATTGTTAATAAAAGCACTGACATAAAATAGGAAGTGCAGGTGTGTAGAATTAGAGCATACACGTATATACTCAGTTACACGTGGCTCGCAGCTAAGTGATGGTGACTTTAGCATACAACTGTGGGCAGGTTAAGCATGGCTTGAATACAACTCTTGTATATGATCGCTTACAAGTAAATAGGTAAGAGGATGTTTTAAATCTTGTCACATCCTAAGAGGGTGGTTAGTACTTTATATAGAACTTGCCTTTGAAATGAACCGAAGTATTAGAGCATATCTTAACCTGCGAATTCAATGGTGTTAAAACTGAAGTCGGCACACTAAAGCCTAAGGGTATATTAGACATACAGGCACATGTTTACACGCTGATTATACATACCCGTTGTCTGAGGTGAACCAAAGAAGAGTAGAATTGATGAGGCCGAGAGTGGTGAGTTGATCAACCACTTCGCTTACAGCCCAGTCCAGTTCATCAAGGGCGTCGCCGAATACTCCTCGCTCACTCTTCCCGTAGAATTCCTCGGAGGCGAATTGTGGGTGATGTACCTGTGGTCAGTGTTAGGATAGAGGATGATCTTTTTTTCTTTTTTATATATTTTATTTAAAACAATGCAAATACAAGGTGGTATAAATACACAGAACAGATTAATACACAAGAATCCAAAATGACCGTAAACACGTAATATCCACACCATACATTACAGTGGTATTACACTCTCACACACACCATACATTACAGTGGTATTACACTCTCACACACACCATACATTACAGTGGTATTACACTCTCACACACACCATACATTACAGTGGTATTACACCTTCACACACACCATACATTACAGTGGTATTACACTCTCACACACACCATACATTACAGTGGTATTACACTCTCACACACACCATACATTACAGTGGTATTACACTCTCACACACACCATACATTACAGTGGTATTACACTCTCACACACCATACATTACAGTGGTATTACACTCTCACACACACCATACATTACAGTGGTATTACACTCTCACACACACCATACATTACAGTGATATTACACTCTCACACACACCATACATTACAGTGGTATTACACTCTCACACACACCATACATTACAGTGGTATTACACTCTCACACACACCATACATTACAGTGGTATTACACTCTCACAGGCAACATTCGACATCCATTATCATACAAAAGTATTATTACCGATAGTGACTTAAAATTTTATCACTTCCCCCCCCCCCACACACACACACACCAACAGAAACATCCTGAATTATCATTAAGCAAGAATATATTTAATAAGTCGTACAATCACTGGTGATACAGGAATACCAAATCAGAAAACCATAACGAAAACGTATTAGTGACATATTAGAAGACATGACATACCTAAACACAGTGACACCTCAACCAGGTCGTCTAAATACACTGAAGGTCAACAGAGCTCAAAGGCTACCTATGTACATGTTTATTTACCAATTAAACCCAAACATTACCACAAAATATAAAACATTGCTACAAATACAAGCGATGATAAAGTATACTAAAATGTCACAATACCTTAAATAATACTAACACAATGTGAAATATTACATTTCAAACACATGTATACAACTACCAATAAAGTTGGTATTACCGGTAAATGACTTAAACTCATTACACATTAATTACCCCCCCCCTCCCGGTCACCCCGAAATGAATATGATCGTTATCACCATGTTAACTTTAACATCATAACTTGACATATATGAATAAACTAAGTGGTAATTATATAAGTATTTGTGAAACAGTAACACCAAAGACAGTACAATTAATAAAAATATTAACATAAGGGAAACATGGCCAAGTCACACACATTGACACTTAAACCAGGGTAAGATACACTTCTAGTGCTTAACACGTCCGGGAACATTGCCTAATGAGTTCAACCAATCCTTAATCACATCAGCGCGTCTAAGGCGCACGCAGGCGCAGACAACCACAACTGTGTATGTGATTACATAAACATTCGCCCGTTACATTATTCCAGCTCTCTTTCCACACTAAAGTCTCACACATTCTTGTCAACTATCCAACCCCAAGGAGACGACCCCGTTTCTACCCCTGACATTCCATCCTACATTAGCATTTACCATCCCTACCCTGCCCCTCCCACCTAATTTACAAATTTAATAAAACCTCTAACGTAAGTTCTCTATATCCCTCTGAGAAAGCCCGCTCCCACCTTCTCCCATAAATTTCTCTGTTACGGCACAACGTTTTATAAAACGTAACCGCCAAAACCCGACCCCTTTCCCCCTCATTCCCCACGTTATGTATATATAATCTACCATAATGTACTCCACAGCCCTAATAATACTCTCATCCATACCCCCCACGTCAAGACTTAATGCCCGCAGAACAGAAATGCTTTTACCTCTTATCCTATGCAGCACCCTGCTCAACCAACCCCTGACGCTCCCCATCCCCTCACAAAAATACACTACGTGGAACGCAGAATCCTCCCATCCACATATTCCACAGACCCCCCCTTCAACCACCCGTCTATCCCGTAAAACCACACCCGACGGTAAAATCCCATGCAAAAAACGATACATCACCTCACGCCCACGGGGTTGTAACGTTAACCTACTGAGCTTTTCCCATATACTTCCCCAGTCATACATGGGGAAAATCCCCTCCACCGGTGCCACTACCCTCCCCACTAACATCCTACACAGCCTACTTATTTTTACCTTCCCCAGATCCCTAACCAACACCAGAGCCCTCAAAATAGTTTCACACTCACGCAACTCTACTCCAGAATACATATGTTGCAATCTACTGTGTATCTTGACCAAACCCCCTCCCCACCCACACCCTCCCTCATCACCTCCCTCTTAATGAAGATACATTTGACCCTCCACTTCAAATTCATTAAACCCAACCCCCCCCCCCTGACGCACAGGTAACATTACCTCATCCCTTTTAAGCCAATCACAGCCCGAACCCCACAAGAATTTAAAAACCCGTCTAAGTATATTTGCAATTGCCGTCCCAGTTAAAGGGAACATGGCTGCCACATGCCAAACCTTGCTATACAATAAGACGTTAATAACAATGGCACGCTGCACAAGGGTCAAATGATAAGGCCGCAATGCTCCCAAGCGACCCAGAATCCTGTCTACCAACCTAATCGAATTTTCCACACGTGCAACATCCAGATCATCTGCATAGATAAGACCACAAATTTTTAACGAAGTCACCCGCTTTGTCACAACTACACTACCCCACTCAACCCTCCCCACCCAAGCTCCTAACCCCATGACCATGGACTTCTCTGAATTCACTCTCATTCCAGTTGCACCTGCGAACGTGTCGACTACCCCATCTAAGGCTTCCATCGGCATCCCCTCCCTAACCAGAACAGTAGTATCATCTACATACCCTATTAGAACTGGCCAAACCCTCCCAACTCCACTCCCTTCCCCCTCACTAATGCCCATTTGCTGCTCCACCATTCTATAAAAGGGGTCCTGTATGCACGCAAACAAAAGCTGTGACATAGGACTCCCCTGTCTAAGTCCCCTACCCATTACAATCCTCCCCCCCAATCTTCCATTAATCTGTACCCTCGCCATTGCCCCACGATATAACGCATTTTCCCATCCCACTATTTCTTCCCCAAAACCCTGTCTCCTAAGGATAGCTCTCAATGCTCGCTCCACTCTATCATATGCTCCTTGACAGTCTAGACTCTAGAGCAACCAAGCCCCCCCTTTCCCCCCTTTTTCCTCCACGAAATCCTGTAGTAACCCATGCCCCTCCCCCATAGACCTACCTGGCAACCCAAACTGAGTTCCCGATACAACCCGCCCTACTACACACTTAAACCTATTTCCTAAAATCTTAGCAAACAACTTATAATCCGTGCATAACAACGATATTGCCAGGTAGTCCCTAAGCGTATGCTGTCCCTTACCCTTCGGTACCAAGACTACTACAGCTGTTGCCTGCTTTTCCCCCAACTTGCCCCTCTCCTCCATCAAATTTAATAACCTTACCAAAAAAAAACCTCATTAGCTCCCAATGCTGTTGATAAAACTCTGCCGGTAGTCCATCGATTCCCGGCGCTTTGCTCTTACGCATTTCACTTAAAGCTCTCCATATTTCCTCCTCAGTTATTTCCCCACCCAGTGCTTCCCTATCACTGTTTACCAAACGACATGTCACACTTCCACACACCTGTTCTAAATCCCCAGCTCCTGCCTCTTCCTCTTGCCAATACTGCTCATACCACTTATCCACAAACAACCCCATCCCATCTGTAGTTTGTATAACCTGACCCACCCTATACCCACCCACCGACTCGTGAACCTCCAACCATGGAATAACTGTTGCCTGCTGACGTTTTTGCCTACGCAATACACACGACGACGGCCTATCTCCCCATAACACCTCCCACCTCTGCCATTACTCTCACGCTTGGAACCTCTCGTCCTGGATTTCCCGCAGCCTCTCCTTAATTACCATAATGTCGTCCAGAGGATAGGTACCCTCCACCACTCCCCTTACATAACAACCCCTTAACCTGTCCTCCAAATAGTTAATGAGCCCATATTTTAAAGAATTGATCCGTTTCCCTTCCCACACGTAATGCCAAATCCGTTCCTTAGCCACACCATCCCACCACATCACCACATCCTCTACCCCTTTTACCTCCTCATTTAACCCCTCCCACAGCGCTGTAAAACCCTCCAACCCCTCCTCATCTTCTAACACACTCGTATTTAACTTCCAGTATCCTCTAGAGATACTAGCTAATGACTCCCACTCCACCTCTGCCACTACCGCCCGATGATCGGAAAAAGCTACTTCTATTGTACGGACAAACTTTGACAATACCCCGTGAGATATGTACAACTTATCTAACCTAGCCACGTAACCTCTCCTCACGAAAGTGTGCTCTACCTCCCACGCCCCCCCACCTACCACATCCCTCAACTGAACATCCACCAAGAGATATCGTAAGGCTGTCAACATGTGATCCTCCCCTTGTGGTTCCACATCAGCTCTCCTAATTACACAATTCCAGTCCCCACCAACGATGGCCACTGCAGGTAAACCACGTAAAACACAAAATCCCTCTTTCATATCGTTTTCCACTGGTGCATACACACTTACAAAGGTTACCCTCTGCCCTATCCACCACCCATCCACAAGCAACACCCTCCCCCCCTCCCCCCTCACTTCGTATCAACACAAACGGGCTCGCCTCCTTTATCAATAAACCCACACCACCTTTCAAACGTGCAGACGGCAGAGTCAAAACCTTAAGCCCCGCCACCTCTAGCACTCTTCCTTCTCGGAAATTATGCTCCTGTAGAAATACGACGTCCACTCTATATTTACATAAGAGCATACGAAAACATTCCCTCTTCACTTTATTACACAGTCCATTCACATTCACAGTCATACACCTAAGGCCTTCCTAAAGTTTCCAACCCTTCCTCCTCTCAACCTTCCCAGGGCCTCCTGCCCCAGGGTCAACACA